AGCGATGGCCTTTGACGACGACGAATGCGACCAGGGACGAAGGGGAAAACTGTACTCACAGCGTCTGAAGAGCAAACAGAGTCGGAAATCTCTGTTGAGCGAGGGGTTGCGGAAAAGTGTTGCAAGGTTTGTGTTTGCGATGGAGGAGGTTGTGGGAAGAAGGGGGGAGGAAATGGTGGTGGGATTGGTCTTTTCAGTGTTTTTTCCAAAGTCCACCGCTTTGCTGCGGTGTGGAGCCGGTGCGAAAATGGCCTGTATTCGTAGCGTCCAATCAAAGGGGCAAGAGGCTTTCTGAGGAAGAGCCTGTCGCGGGAAGGTAGGTAAGGTGAGGAGGTACCTTACACACCCGACCTCACTTAGCCCGGTAGCAGCAGGAGCAGGAGGAGCCGTGGCACTTTGTAGCTGCTATAGGTTGTTACGCAGAGGGAGGGTTTGACGTGGGTGGTTACCTTCCTACCACTCACCGTTAGGAGATGAGAGGTCACGGTGAATTAAAGCGTGAGACCTGGAGCTGGCAAGTAAGGTAAGGTACCTTCCTATCTACCTACTGCCTGACTCTACAAGAACTAAGGCAGGCGGCGGCGAGTGAACGTCTAGCCGTTTCCGTTCTCTGCTCTGCCATATTGTCATATCGCCTGCGTCTCCTCTCCTTGCCTTGTCTTGCCTTGTGCTTGGGCTGGAAAAGACAGAAGAAGCAAGCAGGTCACCATGATTCACAACCGCTGCAGCATGACTTGCCGTGCCTACCTTGCGGTACAAGTACGTGCAGCTTTTGACACCGGCCATCATCACATCAGACATACCTGCCCACCACCAGCTTCCCCAGCTTGAGATGGCCTGCCTTGCTTGTCCTACCTTGGCTTGGTCCGACCCGATGCTAGGTTGGCCGGTTCACTGCACACAGTTGGCTGGGCCGGGCTGGACTGGACTGATGTGACTGCTACTAATGTACGGCTTTTAGAGCTGAGGGCGGTCCCCGTTACCCGAGATGTGCCTTCAAGTCAAAAGCCGGAGCCGATAATGAGACTACACTACCTTGCCTCTGTAGGTACGCGCCGCTACCATTTCACCTCAGGGGGATAGGGATGGGATGTTCGGGTCCAGGTCTCCAGACCTATCTCACACGGACTGAAGTGTACCAAAAAGGCAACAGCCCTCGCCTTCGTTGCTTCGGCCCAGTAGCTTACGCTGCGCCGGAAGCAACCTTGGATTTTAGCTAGGGGTCGCGTTCATAAGAACTTAGGTCTTAAGGGTAGACAGACGACGGAAGGGGGGCAATTGACTGGCGACTGCATCGGTACCCAAGTCAGAAGAAGGTTCTCCAGAGTTGAGATGACCTGGGACGAAGCTTGTGCCCGACCTCCCAGGCTCGAACCTTCCGATAAGGCGGTTTTGACGTGGACAAGACCACCCCTCGGGAAATGAATGCTGAGCTGGTTTGTGCGACGGGGAAGCAGTAAACTCCAGGGACGAGAACTCAAAGGCAGCTGACTTTTGAAAGCAAAATGTGCAGATGCCTCTGCTCTCTGCTTTTCCATCGCGGGTCCACGGATATGCCTCCTACCGCTATTACGCAGCCAGGCTTGCTCTCCAAGTACCGCATGGGCAGCATGATAATAAAAAATAAAATAAAAAAGTACATGACGCGGCACAGGACTAGGTCTTTTCGCTAGTTGCACTATCCCTTATTTTTTTTGTCCCTTTTTTTTTTCTTGTGGCCCCTCAGTTTTTTCCCCCTCCCGTCCCGAATTTTTATTCAATTTTTTTTCTTCCATGAAAAAAATCGGCGGGAGAGAGAATTCAGCATGTCGGACGGGCTGGGGTCCCCCTGCGCCAGATACTAATTTAAATCGCCGAGAGGCAGGCAGGTGGCCCCGTGGTAGGCCAAACACTGTGAATTGCGATGCCCCAGCCTCGCTAAACCCTTTTCCATCCCTACGAGGGGCCAGTGAGGGGCCTGCGAGGGGCCCGTCCCTTGCATCCCTCCCTGTCTGAAAGCCCCTCATCACAGGCTGAGAGTCTGCAAGCTCTGATAAGTCTTGTCTCACAAGCCTTCATCAGCCCCTCACTTGCCCTGGTGGGCTGGTGGCCTGGCTGACAGAATGCCGGGCCATATGTATCTTGGATTCAGTCCATGTCGTCCATGTGCATTGATTGAGCGGTGTTAAACGGAAAGACGTCTCGGAGCACTCACCACAAGCGGTTTCTCAACATGTCGTAGCAGGGTCATGAGACACCGCTTGGTGTAAGTGAAGAAAAGAGGGCCGCCAAACAGAGAGCTGATCTCATCTGCGGTTTGCCCCTCCATCATGCAGGATTCTCATTTTTCTTGTCCATCAGTTTTTTGGCTCACACTGTGCGTGTCGGGTTTGTCTGCCTCCATGTCTCATTCACAACCTCAGGTTTCCCGTCCAATATACCGCCTTGCCGCGTATTCCAAGTCTAAGTGGTCTCGGCTGTAGGTATGCCCTCTGCCCGCGGTCCCGGTCCGGTTGCTGGTGGTGGTGGTGCTACTGCATCGGCGGGATGGCACATGCCTCTCTGTGGTCCTGCCTTAACCATACTGGGGAGTTGCAGCGTTGGAGAAGCTCAGCATTCCGAGCCAGATCAAGGACGAAATGATCGAGTGCTCAGGGATGCAAAAAAAGTTTCCCGCGTCAGAATTCCTCGTGCAGAGACGTCTGCATTATTCAAGCCAAGTCACTGCTGGGCTGGCTGGCTAGCACGCAGGCAGGCGACAAACCCCGGATCACCTCACGGACTCGTTTCTTGATAAAGGTTTGGGCCGAGGCTTGGACGGCCCCTCCAGATCGACACCCTCCCCTCGCCAAAACCCAACCCCCATGTACACACTTTTGACGTCGGCTCCGTATTTTTCAACCTCCTTCCTGCCTGGAACTCAATCTGCGATATTTCACTGGAGGAATTAACGCACAAATCCCAAGAGTTTCATTCCATTGAGCTTTGGTTTCGCATCCCTCAGCGAAGCCACAGCATCAGGCGAGCCCTGTCCGAGGATTGGTTCGTTCCATCGAGATGCACTTTCCGACCCAGCCAGATCTGCCGTGCTCAATCTCGGCCACTCTTCCATTTCAGGTTGGTGGTAAGCTTAGCAGTCGACCACACCGGATGAACCCGGCCATACCCTCAAACGGCCATCTCTCCGTACAGTACAGTATGTACGCTGCGCTGCGCATGCATAAGCATCTGGAAACAAGTCCTGGCCCTGGGGAGGTTGGGCTGTTTCCTTTCAATTGTTTCGTAGCCAGTAAATTGCGGCAATCGTTGGTCGACAGCCATCTTCGATCGAATGTTCTTGCCAGGAATTACGCAACGACCATGCAGGGGCAAGGTGCATTGCGCCTCATATCTGCAAAGTAAACGGGCGAAGACATCGTCAACCACTGATTTGCTTCTGTTCAATCTTCCCATGGATTCATTTTATGCGTGCACGAGTCGTCCCCGACAAAATTGGAGTTGCTGACCTGCCCTGAATGGTTTGCGAGAGCGAGGCTGGAGATATCCGATGATATCGCACTCGCAGACGACCAAGATGTGTGGTCTGGATTCTCTGATGGATGGAGAACATGCCGGGCAAGTGGCCACTTTCTGGCCGCAGGTGCAGCAGTCCAAGGCGCACTAGAACGGCATGTAACCACATACCGCCGCAATCATTGTGCATGAGAGGCCGCAGGCCGCGGGCTTTTGAGAAATGCAGGAAACAACAAGTCAGAACGACTGCGCGCACTGGCATTGGTTCGCTAGGAATGCAACCCTGACTTCCTCCAGGCGAGCATGTTGCAGACACGCATCGCGTTGACCATCTGGTATTGATGGGAAAAACAAGTCCAAATCCCACAACGATGTCATCGCAGAGGTGAAGCTCTTGGATGCCAATCGGCTTGGTCGGGAAAACTTGCCCGCCACGTGTGTAGAATTCTTCTGGAAGCTTGGCTTGGCGACGAATGATGATTGAGTGTAGGATCCTTCGAGGAAGGAATCGAAGGAGGGTCCTCCGCGAAGGCGGCACGAATTGCCCGGCTAAAACGAACCGGGAGGCAGAAACGGACCCTTGTCTAGCCTCTGGCGGGCATTCCTCCCAAATAGGATCTGTCCACATCTCGTGAGGATGTTCGGGGCCGTCGCCGTGTTTGATTGTCCGAACTGCCGCACCTAACGCAGCAATGATCTAGTCATTGACGAGCTGACTGCTGAACGACGCAGTTCCAGAATCGAGGCCATCACAGTTTCGTCCCTCTCGCTGCGCCAGGGGCCGACTGTGCCAGCTATCGAGAGAGCGCATCTCCTTGATAGCATGCGATACTGGTAAGGCGTGCCTGGCCCTACTAGCGATGTCGTAACATGACGATCATTCACCGGGGGGATTCAACGTTGACCAGCTGCCGGGCCGGAAGGCCGTGGCCCGTGGGGAAAGGTGTTCCCGTCGGGGGGCTTGGCCCACCAAGGAGCTTGTCCTCGATGTCGGCCCTAGCGCCGCCATTCGCGTTATCTTTCGGAGTGGCCGCGTTCTGTAGGCCCACTGGAGGTGACGAACAAGGCCAACCGTACCAATTGTGCTGTCGCAGGCCTGCTCAATCAATAAACACGCCCCGCCCAGCTCTCCTCACTGCGGAAGTGGCTCCGATGCTGTCAGAGGCATGTGAGAGACGACGGCAAGGTCGTGTACAGATTCTTGGAAACGGAACTTGTGAAAAGCCACCGTTGAAGTCAAGAGCTGCCTTGCAGCTTGCAGAGAATGACGATGTTTTTCGGTGGCAGAATGGTTGATACTGAGGCTGCTGCAGTTTACTGAGCCTAGGTGCTCTTTCCTATCTAGTATCCCTGGATCATGACTAAGCACGTGACTGGGCGCCACCTTGACGCGCCTTCCCTGCACATCGCGTGAACGAGACGCGAAGCCCCTTTGAGCATCATCAGCCCCCGCCCAGCCGTTAATACAACGCCCTGTATGCTTAAACGACGGAGGTCATCTGGACATCATGGATAACTTCTCACCGGAGAGTCGAGCTGCGGTGCAAGAGGCATTCAATGCATTGCGCGGGTCGATTGGCAAGGCGCTTGACACTGGTATGTCAACAATCCTGACGTAATGGCCTGCAACGACCGCTGACCACGCACGCAGAGCTTGAAAAGAGGAAACAGAGGGACTTGGAGCGGAACGAGTCGTTGCGGGAAGAGTTGGACATTTTGAGGTCTCGCTCTGAGTACATTGATCGGCTGGAGCAAGATAACTCGTCGCTCAGAAACAAATTGCTGCGATTCCACCATCAGAACCGCGACACCGAATCGCCAAGAAGTACACCTCGTCCCAACGTTTCTGTACAGGACAAAGCTACAAACACAGATCCTACACCAGTTGAATCATCCGATAAGGAGAATGACGTGGAGCGGGTTCTACACGAGAGCCACAAAGTTCTCAGGAGGTACAACGCCTTAAACAAGAACTTCAAGCTGTTGAAGGCAGAGTACCAGAAGCAGAAGGATCTGATCAAGCAATGGGGCGAATACTCAACATCCTTGGAGGCTAAGATCAAAAGAATCGAGGACAGGCATGGACAGTCAATCGACCCTACACCTGCATTTGAATCCGCATCGGAGCCGAGCAGGCCTCGTGCGGCTGCAACCCCAAGCTTCACCGCAGATTCTGGTGCGGAACCTGATCAAGCAAATGGAGCTGTGGAACCTCAGTTGGCTGCACAGCCTGATCCTCCAGCAGATCCACCCCGAGACGAAGGAAATCTGCCCTCAGGACACACGAGCGATAGAGAAACGACAGAGAGCGGTAAAGACGCCGATGAGCAGACTCTCCCTCCCTTGAGGCAAGATTTCAATGTCACGACAGAGGTTCTCGTCAAGTCCGAGCCCTCTTCCGATGGCCCTATTTTTGTCTCGGAGCGCTCAGTTGGGAAGAGAAAGCGTGCGGACGACCAGGTCACTGATCAAACCACGCGGACCAGAATCAAAATCGAAAGTTCCGGGCTTTCTAACAGCTTGCCTTCCACCCAGATCCAGGAAAGTATGGATTTGGACGAACTTGGACCGAGGGTCACAACGCCGAGGAGGAAGAGATATGCGGATCTCGATCGAGATAAGAGCTTCAACTCGGTCACCGTCAGGCCGGATAACGTCAGCACGCCGGCTGCAAAACCTCTTCAGAACTCTGCGGTCTTAACGCCAGTCAACCCTAATGTGATGCCCGTGCATCCGCAAGAGAAGAAGGCTGTCGAGAACCCCACCAGGAAAGGACTCACTCAAGGCATAAGAAGCCTTGCCGAGGACGGCATTACTTACAAGAAGACTGGTCGCGAAGAGCCAGCAGGTGGGAACTTTCGCACGCCACAGCCCGCCGGTCGTTTGAGTACCCTCTTAAATACGGCGCCATCAGAAGAGACGCCAACCATAACGCGGTCGGCGCCTCGACTTCGTGGCAATGATCCAGAGGATGACGATAGCCTTCGTTTTCCTGACCGGAGGCAGTTGCCTTTCAACAAAGAGCGACGAGACAAGCCAAAGGGGAGCGCTTTCAGTCGGAAGAGCACTGAAGACGCCGCAGAACCAAGTCCAACGCGTGGTTCGTCTAAGAACCGAGCCACAGTTGAGACTCCGCTGACGTCGTCAAAGACAGGTCTTCGGTCCAAACCCGTAGCCGATCTGCGCATGAGCGACTTCAAAGTCAATCCAAAATTCAACGGCGGCGCTGATTACGCATACTCGGAGGTGGTCAGGGGCAATGACAGGTCTTGCCTGCCAGGCTGCACCGACATGAATTGCTGCGGGCCGCACTTTCGGGCAATGGCCCTCGCCCAGAAGAACAGCGCCGATCGCACCACAGCATCAGACAACAAACTGTTCGAAGACTTTCTGGGAGATAGAATCAGTACCGTCTGGGGAATGTCGAAGCCGGAGAAGGAAAATCTCTGGGTGGAAGCCAAGACATGGCAGCTAGCCAATGAGTTGGGCAAGCATCGTCATCGGTATGCTCGGCGAGCGTCTCCTGAAGGATTTTGGAACGTGGACTTTCCCAACACTCAGGAGGTACAGGCCGAGAAGGCAGAGTTTGAAAAGCGAGAAAAGCAAATGATTCAAGAAAGATATCGGGAAGCGATGAGAGGAGGTGGACGGTGGGTTTTCAAGGATGAATGAGTCCCCAGCGCTGTTTTATCATTGTCGCCTCCGGTGTTTGGATTATTGATAGAGCTACCGCGATACAGCAAGTATAGGATAGACAGTAACGTCAAGACGAATCAACAAGAATTCGTAATACAGTCAGTAGTGTCACCAGGCCACCTTCACATAGGTACAGACTAGCTTGACCAAGCTCATCTCTTAGCTCCCCCTCTGGACCCTACCCTAGCTCCCAGCTCACCGGCTGAACTCTCCAAAGTGGGGCCGATTTCGGGCAAACTACGGAAGATGAGGCTTGAGGTCAATGTGCGGGGATCATTTTGTGATCAGTGCGCGAGGCTTTCGGTTCAGGCAATAATCGCATTGCGCCAACAAAGCCCGGAGCCCGCAGGCCGCTAGCTCCAGGTCAACCTTCCTCTCCTGCGCGCGGTGTATTTTTTTGTCATCACCAAAACTGGAAGCGACTGTGTAGCTGCATTGAAGCTGCGCTGCTCCGGTCGTTGCTGATACACTGCGACCGCCTTCCTTCGCGGCTTCCTCTTCCGCGGCGCATTCCGTGCTTGCTCAAGCGACATCTCGGTCCTGATCCACTTTTGAGTCAGGGCACCTGTGTACTTTTCCGGCTTCGAGAACGTCAAACCGAAAAGAGGAGGCGACACACGACACTCCAGAGTTTGCCGGTTCTCTCCAACTGCCATCGCGCACCCGACGCGAAGAAACCGCGCCTTCCATCGAAGCAAAACGAACGTCGAACTCCGCCGAAGCTGTCGACGCCTCCACTGCGACCGCGCCGACAGCCGCTTCCAAGAAAGCCGCAGATCCAACGGGCAGTGATAGTTCCAGCCGTGGACGATCACTGCAAATACACAACTCCCAAGCCGGCAGGATGAACAATCGTCATCTGCCGGCTGGGCAAGCCATGCCGGGGGGTGGTGGGCCGGGAGCTGGCGGTGGTGTCGACATGAGCGGCGGGCCTGGAGGGGGCAGAGGACGGAGGATGCAACATCAGCCATCGTATGCGCAATACCAGCAGTATCAGCACATGCCGATGCATCATACCAACTACATGAACCCTTACGCCGCCGCACCGTACTACCACCAGCTGCCGTACCAGTACCAGAATGGCGGCATGCCTTCTGGCTACATGCATTACCAACAACCGCAGCAATATGTCCAGTCACCACGGGCAATGCCGCAGCAGTATGTCCCCATGGCCGGCGTCAGCGTTCCCCAGCCGTACTCTCAACCGTCTCAGCCGTCACCTGCTCTTTCGAATCCCTACCAGCCGCCTCCCATTTCTGCCGCCATGCCTGTTCAATCGCCTCCGCCCCCTCAGCCTCACTCTATTCACCAGACTCCAGAGCCTCCAGTGTTGACACCAGTTGCCGAGCCTTTCCAACCCGCGGCCGAACCCTTCAAGCCTATTGCTGAGCCCCTCAAGCCCGTGGCCGAGCCCTTCAAGCCAGTGGCTGAGTCATTTCAACCCGCGGCGCCTGCTCCCCAGACTCCTCTGACTCCTCAGACCCCCCAGAGCCCGGAGCTTCCCAAACCGGCCGAACATTTCCGTGCACCTGTGAGTTTTCTCAGAGCAATCGCCTCGGACTTCTTTGCTGACGATCCATAGTTGCCCTGGACGCCTTCCTCTCAAGGACCCTTCCCCAAGAGAGCTCCGAAATCAAGACGACGAAGAAGGTTGATGAGCTCAAGCGCGAAAAACGTCACGCTTCAGCCCATGGCACAGAGCAGTGTGGATCAAGCGGAACTAAATCAAGCTACGAAGGAAGATGCAACGGACGCGGCCACCGATGTTGAAGTCACGGGTTCGACACCTATGAAGGCGCCCCTTGATAACTCCACGGACGCCGAGACCGAAAGTGTTACCCTAAGGGCAGAGTCAGCGGCATCTGAAGTTCCTAAGGAGAGCGACAGGTCCGCGACCGCAGTCTCAATCGACGGCAGCCCCAAGGCCATCTCGAAGGAGAACGCGAGGCCCACGACTAGCAGCTCCAACACCTCCCGGCCTGCTGTCCCAGTTGTTCCTGTCGTGCCAGTCATTCCGAAGAGTAGCCCTAAGGAGGCGAAGCCCGCGAGCACTACCAAGCCGGAGGAGGCTAAGTCTGCTGCCCAGGAGAAGTCTGCGGAGGAGTCGGCAGCGGCAGCGGCCACTGACACCGAGCAGAAGGTTGAAGCCCAATCCGCGGCACCTGCCAAGGCGGCCCCTAAGACTTGGAGCGGTCTTTTCTCTGCTGCTGCGGCAGCTGCCCCTAAAGCACAACCCAATGCCAACGGTCCAACCACCTCAGCACCGGCCAATGGAGCGAGCACCAACGGAGGTGAAACCGTCAACGGTGCCGCGTCCACCTTTTCTGCTGGAAATGCAAACTCGCTGGCTGGTGCTATCCAGGACTTCCGCGTGGGCAGTCTTTCCAAGGTCCAGTTCATCGAGCCGAGAGGCCTGATTAACACTGGAAATATGTGTTACATGAATTCAGTGGGTACTTACATCGTCGACATTGTCTCTTTGCTGACTGTCGTAGGTTTTGCAAGTTCTTCTTTTCTGCGTACCATTCTATGATTTCCTCGATCAAGTCAGCAAAAGGGCTGTTCACAAATTCAAGAGTGACACGCCCGTAATCGACGCCATGTGAGTCTTGGCCTCAATTGCTTACCAAACTTTGTTAGCTGACATGCTGCCAGGATCATGTTTATGAGGGAGTTCCGCGTCATCGATTCGACAGATTCTGTCGAGAAGCTTCGCAAGAAGCTCAAAAATGAGCAATTGGAGCAATACGGCGACTCGTTCATTCCGGAGTTCGTTTACAAGGCCATTCAGCCCCTTCCAGCCTTTGCCAGCATGAGAGTACGTGGTAGCCCTATAGCCTGTTGCATCTTCACGTCTAATTATCGAGCAGCGAGGACATCAGCAGGATGCCCAGGAATTCCTCGGTCTGATTTTGAACGCGATCGACGAGGAGTGTGCGCAGGTGATGTCGAGCGGAACAGCGAACGGTGCCCCTGAAGTACGTCCTACGTCTTCAGCAGCGAGCGTCGCTGAGTCTCAAGATGGCGTGGACGGTTGGTTCGAGGTCGGTTCTAGACAGCGGGCCGTTGAGACGCGCTCTTCCGGAGGCAGCCAGACCACACCTATCACGCGGCTGTTCAGCGGACAGTATCGATCAGAGCTCCGTCGTCCTGGCGTCAAGGATTCGGTAACCACGGAGCCGTTCCAGTCTTTGCAGCTGGACATTGGTGCGCCGTACATCAACAACGTTGTGGATGCTGTCAGGGGCTTGACACTCCCTGAAAGACTCCAGGGCGACGCCGCGCCCATGACAAAGCAAACCTTGATCGAGACCCTACCACCAATTCTCATTCTCCACCTCAAGCGCTTCAAGTTCGACACGGAGGGAACTACCAAGATCGGCAAGAAGGTCGGCTACCCGCTCGACTTGCAGCTTCCTGCAGAAGTTCTGTCGAAGAGACGCCGCAATGCGCTCATCGCCGAGGGAGCAGGCATGCCGAAGTACAGACTTACTGGTGTTGTCTACCACCATGGCAAGCAGGCCAACGGTGGTCACTACACGGTCGATGTCAGACGGCAAGACGAAAATGAATGGATCCGACTAGACGATACTGTCATCCGTCGCGTCCGTAGCGAGGACGTAGCTGAAGCTGGTGCGGAGGAAGAGGCCAAGGATAGCTCTCGTCCAGGAGCGTCTTCACGGGACGCATCCACGAACCGCTTCGGTGCCATGGCAGACGAAGATGAGGGTGATGGTTGGAAGGAGGTTACCGCCTCCGCGAAGGGCGGAGATAAGGGCGACAAGAAGTGGAGCGCTGTCGCGAATGGCAACGGCTCGACCGTGCCCAAGGGGAAGCCGGCCAAGGACAACATCAAGGACAACAAGGTTGCCTACCTCTTGTTCTACCAACGCGTTTGAAAAAGCTACAGAAAAGCGCGGACCTGAAATCTAAGCAGAAGCTATCACGGCATTGAGGTAGAAGGGTGGCGCGTAGGGATGGGTTTGAATAACGAGGCGGCGCTTCAACACAACAGACACCACAGGCGCAAGAGATTGCAAGTCTTATGGACACAGCGAAAGAGAGATAATGGGGGAGGCCGCCTCAACAACGGTACCGCGATATTCTCGATCTAATTTGACTACATCCTGCGGTCTGGTTGACAGAGCTCACCATCCCTCGGAGACTTAGGAGAAGAAGTAAAAAAGTCGAAGAGTTATCTATCTGCTTGTGGGGAGGTTTTTTATGAACTATCGGCGGTTATGGCGGAAGGTTCAGTAGTCTCAAGGGGCCTTCATGGTGGCCATCGGCGCGGGGTTGAAACGGGGAGTGATAGGGAGGAATCAATGATAGGACATGGACCAAAAAACGTCCCTGTAAGAATCCAAAAAAGCGTTGATGAAATGCTTCCTTGCTCGTACTGTGATGTGTGTAGCCTCACCAGTCGAATGCGGATGCTCGCACGGAAGACGCCATGTGCAACTCATGTCTGAGAAGTGGGGTTGCGGATGAGGTGAGAGGTGGGCACGCAAACCTCTCACAAGCACGCATCTCAAGGCTCAACTCTCACCGGCATTTCACCACTCGACGTCATCTCCTGACGTTCCCTCTCGTCAAAAGCCAATTGTAACTCTTCTTTCTCTGGCAAGGCAAACCGACGCGAAAATGCCCGCCCCGTCCACTCTTCCGAAGTACCTCTACAAAATCGTACCCGAGGCGCCGCCGTCCCCGCTCCCGGAGGAGTACCCCCTCTCCGACCTCGACCGCAACGACGGCTTCATCCATCTGAGCACCGCCGAACAGGTACTTTCCTTTTTCCCTTGTCCTTGATACCGCTCACGCGCTTGCGTCTCAAGCGCAAGCAGACGAGGGCAAAGACAAGAAAAGAGTTGAGCACTGACACGCAAGAAGGTCCTCGGAACAGCCGACCGCTTCTTCTCGTCAGCCACGACGCTCTACCTGCTCAAGCTGCCCTACGCGTCCCTGGAGAAGGGGAT